AAAATGCTGTTTCATACGGTTGAGCATAAGTTTTAAGAAGTCATCTAAATTTTAAACGATTTTTTAATTGATACAATATTTCGTGCGGACACACTTGAATAATTTGTGCGGAGAAAAAAAAGTATCTATAATTTTTTCTCTCTCTTTTTCTCTCGTTTTCTCTCTTTATGATAAAGTATATAAAGTGTACGCCTATCACTGCTAAAACACACAAATTTTTATTTCTCAGTGTTAATCGTTTCTTGTTTAAAATACAACCTTGATCAAAAATGGTTTACTCAAGCAAAATTATTGCCATAATCATCATGGGTACAATCTGGATTGCAATTGCAGCCCCTCCAACTGGTATGTATTATCCCGTAGCATCGAAGCTTTATGCACTAATAATAAACTAATTCATTTCATAGTGCTCACACAGTTGTAGAACCACTCATTTGTCATGCCAGTTCACTTACTACGTCGTGTGTATTCATCTTTCAAAAAGGATAAGTATTAATGGACAATAAAATAGTGTAACGAAACTTTATTCATCATGATTCATTTCCTACGCAATCTGTACTCATCCATGAGAAAACTCGTTCATTTTCTAAACTTCACGAAACAAATAAATGACGCCGTTGTTGAAGTAGTTCAAAACTTATGTACACGAAAGTCATATTACTGACTTCAAACTATCATTTCAAAATAAAAGCAAATAATTTAATGAAGAGGTTACAAGCGTTCGATTTTACACAATTATAAAATACCGAGAAAACAACTGCTCCGTTGATTTAGAACTGAACTACATACCCGAATAGATTTTTAGTAGCAGCTATCCATTTCTGCTGCGATGTTGAAGATTAACACGAGCTGAGCACATCCACTTCGATGTGAACTACATACCTGAATAGATTTTTGGTGCAAATTATTCATTCCTGCTGTGATGTTCAACATTAGCACCAACTGAACACATCTTATTCGATGCGAACTACATACCTCAATAGATTTTTCGTGAAAATTATTCATTCCTGCTGTGATGTTCAACATTAGCACGAACTGAACACATCCACTTCGATGTGAACTACATACCCGAATAGATTTTTACTAGCAACTATTCATTTCAGTTGTGATGTTCAACATTAGCACCAACTGAACACATCTTATTCGATGCGAACTACATACCTCAATAGATTTCTGGTGGAAATTATTCATTTCTGTTGTCATCTTGAATTATACACTAAAACTCTAACAATAGGCTGGAAAATACGACTATTTATGACGTACAATTTTGTCAAACTTATGTATTTATGGTGTTTGCAGCTAGTGTTTAGTGGCGCATAGTTCCTCACCGCCAGTGTCATATAAATCGTGAACATCGAATTAATGATATATGCTCATTAATAATGAAAACGACGATCGTTTGAGTCATCATGAGTCTTTTACTCAGATTTGTGAAATTGATGAACATTACAATACTAGTATTTGTTGATTTTCTATGTTACTATAACCTATGACTCGATCGCAAGACCTTCGTATTCGGAGCTATAAGAAATTCAAACATCAACCTACTAAGAACTGTTCATATAACTAGCAAGCATTCTAGGATGGCATTAGAAGTACACACACCGTTTGCAAGGTCAAAATATTGCAACGACAACCTGGTCTGAAAAATGGACTTATCATATTATTATCGTCAGTGTCGGCAATGATTTGATTCTTTTTGGCGATGACGAAAGTATATGAATCCAATTTTTGTATCTCAATCCCACTTGCACAAAGTATTGTTTTCCTCGGAACGATTGTTCCTTCTTAAAAAGGTGTCCAGAATATAAGAAATGAACTATTCTAAAGCACATTCAGCTTAAACGCCATCGTTGATTCTGGGCGCAACAACCTAATTACTTGTTGAGATACATCGAATTATTCAACAGGTCTCTGCTGCAAACTATCCATTTGCAGTGCGATCTCGACCAATACGATGTACTACTCAAGGCAATACGACACAGGGAAGATACTTGAAAAGGGTTCTGGTAGGAAACATTCAGCAACGAGATAGTTTTCTATAAGATCGCTAGGTCCACCACGATAACAAACAGTAAACCGCGTAAATGAATATATTTTTGATCAAAATTAATCACACAGCATGTAATCATCCAATGTATGCAAAATCAGACGAGTTGCTCTTATACGCTAGCCAAATATAAGAAAGAGATGTTGATAAGAGTAGTTCCTCTAATACATGACTTTTTATGCTCGACAAACTACACACTAAGACTTAGACCTAAGCCATATAACTGAAAACACCATTACTTGAACTCATTTGTTTAACACGCAGTTTTTCATCATACTCAAGTGCATATCGCTAGTCAAAGATTCCACTGATTATTAGGACTTCAATTTAATACATATCATTCATTTCTAACCCAATGTCCTCAAGTAGGTATTATCTACTCATATTTACTGCACACAAAACGAAATACTTGCTGAGAAGCTTTGCGACACCAAGTCATTTTTCACACCAATGACCTTATTCATCTTAAAACTGCATATGCCTTTAGAATCACTTCAATAGTGGAACGGAACCAAAGAACACTATTCATCACTCATGTGGTAATCCTTAATGATCCTAGTTCACTAAGTCCAACTGTCCATGGTATCAGTAATCAAATAAAATCTCCATTGGTATCCTTACCTTTCCATGTAACCAGACTTATACGTCTCAAAACAAGCGAAGCACTTTCTAGGAACATACCAAACCTGAACTGACGTTTGGTTAGAATTATTCATCTTCCCAGCAGGTGCTGAAACCCGATTCGAATTCTACGCCTTGAATTTACCGTACACCATACCTGCCATCCAACTTTACAACATTACATCTATATCAAGTGATTCTCACTATGTACGCGCACCTGACACAACCACTTCGATATGAACTACATATCTGAATAGATTCTTACTAGAAATTATTCATTTCTGCTGTGATGTTCAACATTACCACGAACTGAACACATCTTATTCGATGCGAACTACATACCTCAATGCATTTTTAGTGGAAATTATTCATTTCAGTTGTGATGTTCAACATTAGCACCAACTGAACACATCTTATTCGATGCGAACTACATACCTCAATAGATTTTTATTGGAAATTATTCATTTCAGTTGTGATGTTCAACATTAACACCAATTGAACACATCCACTTCGACGCGAACTACATGTCTGAATAGGATTTTTATAGAGACCATTCATTTCTGCTGAGATTTTCAATATTAACACGAATTGAACACATCCATTACGAAATAAGCTACATACCTGAATAGATTTTTGGTGAAAATTATTCATTCCTGCTGTGATGTTCAACATTAGCACGAACTGAACACATCCACTTCGATGTGACTTACATAGCAGAATAAAGTGTTGGTGAAAATCATTCATTTCTGTTGNTTCAAACTATCATTTCAAAATAAAAGCAAATAATTTAATGAAGAGGTTACAAGCGTTCGATTTTACACAATTATAAAATACCGAGAAAACAACTGCTCCGTTGATTTAGAACTGAACTACATAGCTGAATAGATTCTTACTAGAAATTATTCATTTCTGCTGTGATGTTCAACATTAGCACGAACTGAACACATCCACGTCGACGCGAACTACATACCTGAATAGACTCTTGTTAGAAATTATTCATTTCTGTTGTACTGTTCAATATTAGCACGAACTGAACACATCCACTCCGACGTGAACTACATACCTGAATAGATTTTTAGTAGCAACTAT